TCTGGGAGTTCGCAGCGGATGACGCATTCGATCAATTCTTCTTCGTTGAGCGCATAAGTATCGAGCTCCTTGAACTGGATCTCATCCACGAGCTTGAAATGACTCAGCATGATCTCCTCGCCATGTTTGAGTATCCTCTTGATAGTGCCGAGACCGAAAGCTTTCAGACTAGGTGAGTATGCTATCCGTCGCACGGTCTCATCGACCTTTAGTGTCTGTACATGCGTTGTCCGTTCGGTGTCCACTAGAGCGATGCGGAGGTCTTCTAAGGTTGCGATGGCTACAGATCCGGGGTATGCTTCTGAGTCGAAAGGACAGACTGTCGTCGCTTTCTCTGCTGTAACAGCGGAGTATACAAGACGGCCTTCTGACGAGTAAATCAAGGAAGGGTGTTCGCATGTCGCAAATACGTTGAATAGGCCGTTGCCGCGAGGTAGAGCACGGAAACTAGCTTCGCGCGTGCCTAGAACGATGCTCTTCCTTCCTGATAGCTCATGTGTGGAGGGATCATAGGCATATGTGACGACATTGCCATCTGCTAATGCAGCGAAGAGTGATGGCGGTTGTTCCGGGAATATCTGTGTCAGTAGCAATGAGCGGGGAACCGAGTCTTCGGAGATCTGAACCGTCTTGACCGCTTCCAGGGTATCGAGAGAGCATATAGCGAGTTGGGAGTTGCTCCAGAAACCGATAAAGCATATCGAGCTCGAGACTGAAGGAAGAGCAATGCAGGCGACTTGGCTTTCGGAACCGAATTTCTTCTCTTTGACAACCTGTAGACCGTCTGCCATACTCAGAGAAACGATAGTGACGCCTCCCAAGGAGACAAGGACATGACTGTCGTTGATTGAAGCAGCGGTGATAGCCTGACCGCCCATTGGCATCCATTCCGACGTTATCATTCCGCCGTCCAGATCGCAAATCCGGGCTCGTCCGTTTGTAACCTGAACAACACGGCCTTGTGAGATATTCGCAGCGGCTAGCGTCGTTTCATCCAAAGCGAGCGAAGCAAACTCGTCTACCTCTTCTACCTCGCCTTGCGGGTCGAATCGGAAAATGCGCGACTCGTTGACAAAGCTGACTAGTAAGGTGTCTTCATACTGGGCAGAGGCGGTGGATTTCAGACTGAATAGATCAGAGATCTGTTCCATTTCGCCCAACACACCAAGATCCTCCAGCCCAACTCCGCTTCTAACGCTCCGGAGACTTCCATCTTGATAGGCGCCACTACCGGTTACTATGCGCGCCTGGCCAGAAGAGTATTCATTGCTTTGCCCTTCACCAGATCTGTTGCCCATATCCATGATTGTGAAGTCAAGTATAGGCGCGATGTTGGAGAATGTCTGGACGACCTCCATCGACTTTTCTGCAATCTTGATGACTTGCGAATCGCCCTGATGCGATCCCACAAAGACATACCCAGCGTCGAGATATACCAGCGTAGATGCGCGAGATGTCTCCCCGATTACGTCAAGCTTCCATGATTGGACCTTGCCTTGGCTGCTCAAGACCAACATGAACATGTATAGGCGACCGTAGTCATCGGCGAGCACGAATCGCTGAGCGTCAATGCGTTCCCAAGCCACAAAGATGCTCGCCTCGTCCAGTGGCTCGGTTTGGATTTCCCCACTTTCGTCATCGTAGTATCCGATGGATGTTTCGCCGATGACCACCAGGCCGTGGGAAGGCTCCTCGACGGGTATCAGGTGGCTCGAGCCAAGCTCCAGTTCGGTCTTGCAGGTCTCGCCTTCCTGTAGGTCTACCTCTTCGCCGGCGTAGGTGAGTTCCCGTAACTTCAGCTTGACTTGGGAGTGTGTGTCTTCGTATAGTAGAGCCATCTTGGGCTTGTCGTCGAACGACCGTGGGCGCAAGAACGCAGACGAGCGGACGAACATCTCGGGTAGTCTGACTGGTTGAGGGTCTCCCAGGTGGGCGATATCAGCCTCTTGCTTCCTCTTCTTTCCCCTTTGGACTAGCGGTATGACTGTGACAATGCCCTCGTAGACTTCGACAGTCATGAATCGCCCCGTTGGATCGATGTGACATCTCTCGCCCGTTTGCGACTCTCTTGCAGCATTGTCGGCCACGCTCGCGAATGATTTCTCTGTTTGTAGCTGTTTCTTCTCGGAGTTCCATGACAGGGTGAAGTACATGTATCGATCGGTTCCAACGAAGAGGTGGTCGGTCGGCGATAGGGCTGGGCGGAGCTTCTGGAGCATGGTGACCTTGCCATAGATGGCTTTGGAGTGTTGGAGAGCCAATCCATCGGACGTCTGCGTATAGAATTCGAGTCTGTTGGATTTGCTGCAATCGTATTAGCATTGGATAGATAGTGATGCATGTACCCGCGGACTGCTTACGCGACTACGAGGCAATCCTCGTCCGGGGCGAGGAAGTTGAGCTTGAGCGCATGCCGGATGCTGCTTGGCCGGTGGATAGGCGCAATGTAAGCCATGGCGATATCTGTTAGAGCTTGTGGATAGCTCAAAGTACAAAATAGAACTATCGTGGTTGGCGGGCTGGAGACATCGGATGCATTCCGTCATTGAGCTGCACGGGCCGCGGCTCCACGCGACTTCGCGTTGCGGGGCGGCCGTGACTTTTGGAACTTTTGGACTTTTAGAACTTTGGGTGACCGCGACTCTTTTTGCTTGCAGCCCCGACGCGCCCACTTAAAATGGCCTGTACGTTCAGCCCTCGCTCCCCACAACACCAAGCCAGACTCCGCTAACACAATGGCCAACTCAGCGGCCATGGATATCGAAGACGAGGACCCCGTCGTGGCCGAGTACGACGTCTACATCACCCCCGAGATGGCCGAGCAGCAGCTGTACGTGCTGCAGTACCTGAACCGCCCGCCCGACCAGCCCTTCACCAAGGCCACCGAGAGCCAGCCCTCGCAGCTGCGCCTCAAGAAAGAGTCGGGCTTCATTGAGGTCGACGTGCCCGTCAACATCCACCGCAACTACAACCGCGTCGCCGGCGTGCGCTGGGGCGAGGCCATGCGAAAGACCAAGGGCTTTGGCCAGAAGGCTTTCGGTATCGCCTCCGGCTTTGAGCGCACTATGCCGCGCAGCACCAACCGCCCTGGCGCCGGCGGCGAGGGAGGAGCCCCCGCAGCGCCCATTGCGACCGAGGACGACGACAACTTCGAGGAGTACGTCACCCACTTCGAGGACGCCAACGAGAAGGGCCACGTCCTCAACACCCAGACGTTCGGTGGCCAGATCATGCACGACGACGGCAAGGGCACCAGCTACATGCTCGGCACCTTCCGCGACAGTAAGTAGCACGCGACAACAACCCTCGCTTCAAGACTGACGCGGCGCAGACGAACTCCACCTCACACGCTGCAACGGCCTCGTCCAGCTCCGAACTCAGTTCCACCAGATCGACGCCTCCGCCCAGCTAGAAGCTGTCCAGCGCCGCCGCGAGAAGGAGTCGCAGGAAGGCGCCAAGGTCGCCGAACCAAAGGCCTTCCTCGCCCAAGTCAAGAAGACGGGTGGTGACACTGCCGCAGAGCTGACTCAGGCCTTCATGAAGTCGACCAACCAAGAGCAGTGGCTGAGGCTCGACTACTACGACGAGAACGTACGTCCTTCTGTCTTGCGCTCCATCTCGCTGGTGACGAGCTAATCATGCTGTAGGACGAGCGAGCCTTCGATGCGTACAACGACCGCCTCTTCCTCGCAGACGTTGCATCCGCGCCCAAACTCCAGTCCAAGATCGACAACAACGAGTTCCTCGACGCCGTTGGCTCCGGCGGCAAAGCCAGCAAGAAGAGGCCTAGGCGCGACGCCGAAGACCTCATCGAGATATCCGACGACTCCGACGACCAGGCTGACGAGCCATCAGTGAGTTGAGCAAGTGGATTTCGCGCGTATAACACTGGCTGTTGCACGAAAGAGCTTCTCGCACCACCATTATTATCCGACTTGGCCGTTGAACATATATCCTCCCATTTACCTACTAGATACCCCCAAAATATTACTGAACCATTACTATATATTACTGCAGCAGGCCTGCGACTATCGACATGTTTCTCGTCTCCTCACGAGGCTAGAACTATTTAGTGACACAATGCTAATTTCCTCTCTCTTAGTTTGATGTAGACCTGGGCTACGAGCCGATGCGACAGGGGGCTTATCGCAGCGGACAGAGAGGTGCAAAACGCCTGCGTGGTCGTAATGGGGTCGACTGGTACTATTTCGGATACGTCGGATGCCAACCTCGCCTTCGAGTAGAGGCTAGATTTGGAAGTAGCTATCCGCTATCTAGGGGATATGGGCCAGGAAACTGATGAGTAGATGATCGAAATATCGAGAATAGGGACACGACGCGGGAAAGAAGGGTTGCAGCCTCGATACCATGTGGTAAGCCGGGGAGCCTTGTCGTTGTTGGTCTCTGACCAGATATCCGTGAAGGGTGACAGGTCTCTATGAGGTTGATACGTTCCATAGTCGGTTCATGATGTAACGGATCGCGCTGAATCCTCGGTCCAGTGCTTTATTCGAGTTAAAATATGTGAGTGCTCAATACGACATCGCAAGTCGTGTAACCATGGTACACACTGGCTTGGGCCGAATTTCTCTTTCACAGGCCTATGCTCTGCTTTACACAGCTTCTACCACTACGCCAGAGTCTGAGGATTGCGATCTCTCTCATTTAATGAGGATCACCTTTGCGTATGTGGTGGTTATGTATTTCCGGAGTCATGAGTGGCTCGTCTCGCTCTGTGTCATCGCAGTACCATGGATGCCACTACTCCCAGCACCCTATATGGAGAATATCAAATAACAGCGTCTCACAGAGTGTATCTTCACAGAAAGCCCAGGCAGCTACATCGCCTTTGAGATCTTGTAATCCCACAGTCAAATATTAACGTAGACTCCAGCCAGCCTATCGAACTTCTTCTTCGTACGAGGCAAAAGCAGTTTACAGCATACCTAGGCCGCGACCATCTCCAAAGAAGTACATTAACTCATCGACTACTTCCCACCATGTCCCAACGCAGGCGCTATACATCTCGTACCGACGAAGAAATTCGCAAAGAGATGGACCCCGGACACGTTCCATATCGTATGGGCTGGCCGACACTTGCACCTCTGCCGATGGACACCGACATTGATGCGAGATGGATGATACCAGGCTCATATGAGATACTGCATGATGTTCAGGATATCCTCATAGCACGTGGCTTACTCAGGGGAACTACCGAGTTTTACTTTGCGTTTCGAATTCCTCGGGATGCTACTGAGGAGAACGACAATATAGCGCATTTGACGCTCTTGATACGGGTCGACATGTTGAAGCACGCTCGTCATGAGATTGAAGATGCGATAATTAAGATTAGAGCCAGCTTCCGCGATAATTCTTGGACGGAGGATGTCCAAATCGAGTGCATAGACTATCGAGCAAGGCACCCCTCCGGCATGATGTCTTTCCCTATCCGCCATGACGAGTACATTATACGCCGGAAATGGGAAGCGATCTTTCCAGATGTCCTGTCTTTGCTGAGCAAGCATGAATGGCTCTCAGTGGATATTCTTCATCGAGGATTGATCGACGATCGCCAGGAGTGTTCACCAACAATTGTCATCACTACACCAACTGCGCGCGATCCCAAATGGTTCGATATCGTGGTACCTTCGATGATGGCTGACATTGCCAAGAGAGCTCCAGACTTCGGCATCGAAATACTGTGTGGTATGACGACGCTGGGGGCGAAGAGGCGAAATAGCTTGACCGACAGCGTCAACGTTTCATCCTACACCAAAAAAGCCGATATGGGATGTTCTCTTGGAATTGCGAACGATGACAGAGGTTGCAGTACCTTGGGTGGATCTGTGACTCTGTCCGGCGGAGTTCGATGCGGAATAACGAGCTGGCACGGCGTCCGCGATGCACGACTTGACAACGGTAATAACTCATTATCAACTAATAACATACAAACTGACCCTTACGCAGTAGTCTCCAACACGACCAACAAGGCTATGGGTATTAATAACAAGACCTTGACCAACGTACCTCAACTCATGGTATCGCCAGCGACGCTCGACCATCACGGCTACCTCGAAATGCTGCAAAGACAGATCACACTTTACCGTACTTACGCTGCTGATGGAGATTTGGAATGCAAGATGTTGCACAAAGAGAAGGATGAAGAGCACAAGAAGTGTGAAAGCTTCGACCGGCGTATTGGCTACGTTTACGCAGGTTCAGGCCGTCGAACTATCGAGGCCACCAGGTACACCTCAGATCTGGACACTGGCCGATCCAAAGACAAGAAGGAGGCGTTGCAACCGGAGGTCGTCTTTCCACTCGACTGGGCGTTGATTCGTATGGACGATACAAAAAAACGCGACGTTACCAACAGTCTGCCTGATGTTTACTCTACCAAGACGAAACTTGTCCCAAAGCAGCGGTGCAGGCAATGGTCAACCTTCAATGTCAACAAAGAAGAAGTGCACGTTGCCAAGTACGGGCGCACGAGTGGCTGGACGGCCGGTACCATTAACGCTTGTATGATTATCATCAACTCTGATGCAGACGAGGAGATCTCGGTTGCTTATGGTATAGATGCGAAGAGCGTGGGAACATGTTTTGGTGTGGTTAGTAATGACGAGAGGAATGACTTCTGCGAGCTTGTTGACAATGGCAGTATAGTATTACACGAAGGATCAGGCACGCAGCTTGGATTACTCTTCGGGGTGACTGGTACCGGACAAGGAATGTTTCTTCCCATGGACGTCGTCTTTGAAGACATCAAGAGAGTCACTGGTAAAGACGTTGTCAGACCGTCCTATGTTGGTAAGTTGGGCTCCATCACTGACGAAATGATATCGAGCTAATGAGGAATAGCCCCCCAGGTTGTAGGACTTACTCCGCAGGATTTGACGAGGAGGATGAATGATACTATGGAGACACCAAAGATGGGAACTATGTTAATGTAGTATGGTGCAAGCGGAAAGATGTGATGACTATGGGAGCCTTGTCATTGTTGTTGTCGATATCTGATCGGATATCCGTGAGGGAAGAATGGTCTCACTAAAGCCGCTAGACCGCATATGCCAGCTACATGCGTCGTGAACTTCACCAGGGCTCTCTCAGATCACTAGGTATACGCAGTATTCCATCCTCGTGCAATGTCGCGCGGCATTCTTTTCCAACTATGACACCTCGATTTAGACTCCAGATTTGGAATCTATCAATACTTATGTGCACCCTCGACTGCAATCCGAGATGTAGAGCTTTTAGGAGAGGTTAATAATATGTTCACGTGTTTCAGCAGGCTCTAATTAGCGATACTGTAAGTTGTTGCGCGTGCATCCCAAAGAAAAAACGATTATTTCATTAAGATGACTATAGATCCGAGAACAAGAAATGGGTATAATAAAGCAGCCAAATCTGGTAACTCCCCTCTGCCAGTGTCCACCGAAAGAATAAAAATTGTTTTGACCAGATCTTTTCTATCTTTTCTTACAAAGGAAACAACATGCTTACGGAACACTCCCGCCCGTAAATGCACTGACAATTTGAGGAAGATCATTAAACCCCCCGAGCTCACGAGATGCGGATGCGACTTCCGCGCTCATGCCAAAAGTGTACAGAGCGAGCTTGGCTCGTCAATATACAACCGGATGGCATTACCTCTTCCTCTAATTCCCATGTTATCAATACTTTGTTGTTGTTTCGCATCTAAAGCGTCACCGGAATTCCATGTTTGCCGGCCTTGTGTCGTGCAAGGTTCTTTTTCTGTGCCACACTCTTTCTACAGCCCTCCACGTCGCAGAAGTATCGTATGCGCTGATGCTTCGTTTGTTTGTGTTCGCGTAGGTTCTTCCGATGGTCGTAACCGGCTGAGCAGCGATTGCACCTGTATCTCTTGTGCATCTGGTCGGCATGTCGACCCTTTTCGCCTGCTGTAGCAGAAGATTCTGACGATGGGGAGATGCTGATAGACGATGTGGTCTGATTTGGCAGGTGTTTGACGAGGTCTACCATCAAAGGCTGTAGTGTTGTAGGGAGACAAGGTGAGGGAATAGCGGAGCTAGGGCTCATAGCTGCAAAATTCGGCGAATTGAAGCGCTCGATAGCATGGTCGTAGCCTAAGTTACTCAATTCTAATTGATCTGCCGAGAAAAGTTCGTCTGGAAATTGTTGGAGGAGCCGGGAACAGTAGTTTAGATGATCATAGTGGTCTGTCGGGATTGGGACAGCGCGAGACGGTAGCCTCGCGCTACGTGGATTTTGGAGAAATTATCGATACTGATGATTGTAAGTCACACGTTGAAGTAAACGCTACGTGGGTAAGAGATACAGATGCTTACCGGAGTTGAGACAAAGATTCGTCAGCGACCTTGAACACAGTCCCAACGAGTGAGGGCCTTAGCCTAAAAACGGTCCTTCCCTTTGAGTCGCAAAGTGCGGGTTGCCGAAGGCCTTTATAGAGAAAAGTTGAGCTGTATAAGGTGGGGTCGAGGATGCAAGGGGGTCTCAGCGGGCGCAGCTTCTGCCGATCGCCAAGTCCTTCACCTCAGCCTCACACGCCATATTCTGAGACCCCCGCCTCCATTTTCAGCCGTTGGCTACGGTCCAATCATATCTTCTTGGATTCAATGAGACCCCCTCACTAGCGTCATCTTGCCGCTTCTCTTTGCCTCTGGCGCTTCAACATCGGTCGGTTCCCGGTAACGTGGCTGCCCAGGTGGTGTCCCCCGACATCCGTCGTAGAGCTTGTATGATTGCCTCTCCTCAGCCCAATCTACTGTAACAGTCTAGAATCCCGAGTACAGACGCCACAATTACACCGCTTCCTCATGTTCAGGCGAGTGTTCTGACCTCCTTGACCTGTACATCGAGTTAGGAGGACGGGGACAGCCACTTTTCGGCTATGTGGACATCTGAAGGTCCTTCTGAACACCGTATGAGCACGCTCCTAACAGCCATGCATGCGCTGGTGGAAAAAAGAAAAGATACGAGGGCGTTATCTTCGACCTGTAGCCCGGTTGGCTGCCTGACCGGTGGTTACAGTCACAGCCTTGTTAGAGGTGGGTGCGTGCGCAGTTGACAGCCTCGATCACAGCGAGCGTCATCCGCCAAGTCCAGTAGATGAGACCCCCAATTTTACTCGTAGGGATAACTAGGTTAGAACCTGACTTCTCCTTGGCGGTGAAAGGAGACCTAGCAGCATCGGCTCAGTATGGCCAGCTTAGCCCAATCAGGTTCAGATCACTTACTGTAATTCAAAAACAATGAGACCCTCGCTATGCAATCAGAGATACTTTGACACTGCTGTCGCCTTGTTCTCTGCTCGTAAAGTCTAGCTTCAGCGGTATCGGGAGTAGATGAGACCCTGAGTAGAACCCATTATACCGTAGTCCTAGCCTTAGAACAGGTGCCACGATGGCATGTGTGGTGAGACCCTTCAGTTGATGACATCGTAGCAGAGACCCCCAAACTGTGAGGGAGAGAAGTTCCCAAAGGACCAATATATAGAGACCGTATCTTCGCAAGCTAGAGCGATGAACACACAAGCAATCGAGCACCCTTCCAGAGATATCGAACCCTCTTCATCACTATCTCGTATCATACAATGGCTCCCAACACTTCGTCTTCCATAAAGTCTACCAGCGCACGTGTCTCTGCAAGTGGAAGCGATGGAAGTTCAGCTGCTGATATCAACGCCTTTCTGGGCGGCATGCCTCGTAAGTCATCGTCTTCCTCTCAAATCACTATGAGTGTTCTGTTAATCGAGCACCCAGAGCCCACTATGGTGTTGCCTCAGAGCCCTTGGACGGTGTCGTCAGGGTCTTACACTCGCCCCGATGAATCTGTCGTGTACATCGAGCATTCACACCAGATTCGTAACACTGCGCTCAATCGAAGCGCCACCTCGAGCATGGAGGTTCTGACTGGAGGATACAAGGACCCTAGCGCACAGCATGGAGCGAAGAATGGCCAGTAGTACTGGGTTTAGAGATGTGGTACGCGACTAGACTGATGTAATTGTTTTGTCGCGTTGTTGTGTTGATGAACGGCGTTCTGAAGGAGATTGAAAGAGGAAGGGTAATGATCCAAAGCGATGATGTACCCATACCAGTCTAGTCCCAATCGAGCTCGGTGCTCACTCGACCCAATATTCTCTCCACACCTCCACCACGCTGCATCAAGTTCACGTGAATGCTAACTTTTAATAACACGTCTTCATTCGTAACAGCTTGCGTTCTCCCATCATCGCATCTCATACATTCTCAAGATCCGCGAAACCATTATGCCGCCAACAGCCCCACCTTCCTACCCCCGTCCCGACTTCCTACGCGAAGACCTAACATGGACGCCCCTCAACGGCCCATGGTCATTCCTTTTTGATGACAACGACGTTGGCTTGACCCAAGGATGGCATTTGACTTCTCTCCCGGATAAGATCACCGTGAACCCCACCAACACCAATAGCGCCGAGAACACCGAAGCGCACAGCATCACTGCCAAGATAGCCGCTGGGACTCAAGAGCTACTGCAAGGGAACTCGTTCAAAAATGAACATACTGTACATGAGAAGAGGAACATCCAGGTTCCGTACGTGTTCCAATGCCCGGCCTCCGGCATCGAGGAGGCGGGCGTACATGAGGTGCTGTGGTACGAGAGGGTCATTGCAGACCCGAGAACAATGGACGAGAAGGCTGCTGGCAACCGCGTGGTGTTAAGATTCGGAGCCGTCGACTATGAAGCCAAGATCTGGCTTAATGGGCGCTTCTTTGGTGGCCATCGCGGTGGACATGTGCCTTTTGACATCGATGTCACGGATGCTTTCACGGAAGAGAAGGCTCAACGACTCACCATCCGCGTATTTGATTCTGCGCATGATCTGACACAACCGCGAGGAAAGCAGTACTGGAAGGCTCAGCCGGAGAGCATCTTCTACACACCCAGTGGCGGTATCTGGCAAAGCGTGTGGCTCGAGTCAGTGCCTGTTGTCACGATTGGAGATGCAAGCGCGGGCACGCTATTCAAGAGCAATGACATCGAGAATGGCAAGGTAGAAGCTAGCATCAAGATCCTCGGAAGGCCTGCTGGACATGCATACAGCGTAGAGCTCGAAGCCAGTCTAGCAGGCGTCTCCGTCAGCAAAACAGAGAAGATGGCTCTTCCACGAGACTCAGACACCGTTTCTTTGAGCACCAACATGCGGCTGTCCGATTCCCAGGCTTCGCAGTTACCTGCAAGCCTTACATCCACTGCCCCACTTTCCGACGCAACAGCATGGCTGAACAACCTAGCCCTCTGGTCTCCGGAGCACCCCACACTATACGATCTGACTATCCGCCTCTATGACAACGAAGATAAGGTCATCGACCAAGTCCACACAACAACAGGAATGCGTTCTCTCCATTGGGACAATTCCACCTTCCGACTCAACAACCGTCCATACTTCCAAGCGCTCTTCCTCGACCAGGGCTACTGGCCCGAAACCTTCATGACACCCCCATCCTCCGACGCGCTCAAACTAGACATCGAGTTGACCAAGAAGATGGGATTCAACGGATGCCGCAAGCATCAAAAGGTTGAGGACCCATTATTCCATTACTGGGCCGACCGACTCGGACTGCTGGTCTGGGGTGAAATGGCAAACGCATACGCTTTCTCCGAGGCGTATGTAGAGCGCATGGATCAAGAGTGGCGGGAAGCCGTCTTGCGTGATCGCAACCACCCTTGTGTCGTTGCTTGGACGCCAGTCAATGAGTCGTGGGCGTACACCGATCTGCATACGAGCAAGCAGCAGAGAGACCACATCAGGAGCTTGTACTATGCGACCAAGGTGCTGGATTCGACGAGACCCATCAACGATAACTGTGGCTGGGAGCACGTCATCACTGACCTGACCACGTTCCACGACTACGCCGATGCGGATGAACTTACAAAGACTTGCTCGACGCTGGACGGCATTATGAAGAAGCAGTCAAACCGACCGACCTTCCTTGCACCTATTGAGAGCTTGTCGGATCCCGGGTCGAAACACACTCCTGGTGCACCCGTTATTTGCACAGAGTTTGGCGGTGTCAACATTGCGCGATCGGCTGCGGGTGAAGAGGATAGGAAGAGAGACTGGGGCTACACCACTGCTACTGATCCCAAGGATTTGCTCAAGCGCATCGAAAAGATGATGGACGGGATTGTAGACGGAGGGCATTGCTGTGGGTTCGTGTACACGCAGCTTACAGATATTGAACAAGAAGTAAACGGTGTATACACACCGGACCGGAAAGAAAAGTTAGATGCCGCTGAGGTGAGGGAAGTGGTTGAGCGCGTCATGGAGAAGTACGCGCAAATGCATAAGTAGTTGCTTGGATCAAATGAGCATGTAGACAAATGCAAACATTCACTCAAGTTGGGAGGTAGTATCTTAGTAATTTTGTTTATTCTGCGCACGTCTTTGGTGGCTTCGCATTATCATACATGAGTTCTTTTCAATCGTACATCTACCTTCAACCAGTAGCTGTTGGTATCCATCCATAGTTGACAAACACCTGCTGTCGTCATGCTGATATCTGGCAATCGCCCGACCATGGTCTCCAATGCACAATATCCGCTTCGCTATTCACAATAGTATGCACGGAGTTTGCAACCGGATCATACGACACGCGACATGCGAGCGACTGGAACCGGTAATCTCCAGGATGCGTGACTCCAAGAACGCAATAAACAGAAGGAAAAGGGTATCGTCCGTAGTGAAAACCGCATAACTCCGCCCGTCCTGCTACCAATGCATGTCAAAGCAATCATCCGCCATAACGTACACCGCTCCTCAAGTATCGCACACTCTCATCTTCAAGACGTCGTGGCTGCTGATCCTCTCGGAGCGGAATGTAGTCCTGGTTCGGCTGGACGCGCCTCTCGTACATCCTATTGTCAGGCACGTAAGCACGAGACGGATCAACAGGGTGTACATCATACTGTGCACCTCTCACTTCATGCGCATGCATTCGGTGAGACGGTCCAGAAGCATATGCATATCCACGAGGATCAGCAGGCGCAACCGGGCGTGCAGAGACATCGTAACCTCTACCACCACTAGAAGGTGGCTGGTAAGGACTGGTTGTCAGATCAATAACTTGCTCTCTAGGCGGCGGTGGCCTTGGCCCATAATTGGGCGCCATGCGCTGGCTCATGTGGAATCCTGCTTGATCATCTCCGTAAATCCGGGGGCGAGCTTCCTCACGGTATACGGGCCTTAGACGCTTGGCGTATTGCTCGGCCTGAGACTGTCTGTCATCCGCAAAAGAAGGGAGCGCTTTTCGCTTTGGCGATTGCAGCTCGTTATATGCTCTGTTCGGAATTGTGTTATGGTTTCGGGCAGGTTGCTGAGAAGTTGCAATATGTTGTGGTGATGTTAAATCGACTGTCTCAGGCTCAACAGAAGGGAGCACAACATCTTGGTCTGATGGGCGCCTTGGGTGCGCTAGTGGTCTGTCAAAGGCACTGTGACGAGGTGATGGAGGCTGAACATATCCTTCCTGTACGCGACGAGGCGCAGCGTGCAAAGGAGGGTCGTTACGTAACCTCGACGCACCACGATCTTCCTTGATGGGTTGTAGCTATGCGTGTTAGCTCAAGAAGAAGCCAAGGACTGGGATACCGTTTTCTCTCGCTCATAGAGCTTGGTTGTCGAACACTCACTTGGTATAGTTGGCCGTTGATCTCACGCACGATCGGCTGTGCGTTTCTCATACTCTGGCCAGCCTCGGCTGATCTCGCTCGCCTACAGTCGTGAGTATTAAAGTCGATGTTAGCTGTCGTGTGTACTTACGGATCGTTTGTCCTCGTTCGCACTGATTGGAAAGGCTGCTGCATAGGTGACTGGAAACGTGAGGTGCCAGATAATACAGGTGGCGGTGGAGGAGGAGCATAGCGCGGAAGGACAATGGTTCTTCTTGATGAAGGTCTCATGTTGCGGACATCCCCACTCGGGTAGTTAGCATGTAGTTCCGGCTGTAGATCGCGCGCAGTAGCACGACTAGAAACAATTTCCATGCTTTGCTCGCGCTCATCAGGCGTGGCCATGGAGCCTTCATCGCTGCTAGCTTCATCATCATCGTCAAGAACAATGACTTCACGGAAGGTTTCCTCAAGTTCGTTGCTTTGCTTTCCGTCTTCATCTCGCCACTCTTTGAGTTTCGCAAGAGAGACTTTCTCGACCTGGCCACGGGCTTCCGACCAGCCGTCAGTCTTGAGCAGCTTATCGTAGTCTGTGTATGTGTGGCGGATATGCGCGACAACTGCGAGTTGCACCCTACGAGCCAACGAAAGCTCCTTAGCATTACCTACCCGGTTAGTTCCCTCCTCAAACGCATGAGAAACAATGGCTTGTAGATCTGCCTCTGGTATCTTGGGAAACATCTCGCGAACGGCGCCGTGGATGTAACCCTTGGTCTCCTTCTCAGTGGCGGGATGCCCTCGTTGTACTTGCCGCGAAGAGTAGTCTTCAAACTCTTGGGCTATCCAGTTGGTTCTGTCACCTTCTTTGTCCTTCCGCAGGCCGCGTCTCTCATCGTAGAGATATCCGAACTTGTTGCAGGCAAGTTCGATGATGGTGAGAGGAAAGTGGTGTCCGACTCGGTGGACGTGGTGGGATAGCTTCTCGGGATCGGAGTGGGTTTTGTTCTTCGGCTTGGCCTGCGACGCTGTCAGTGGATGACCTGTTGGCTTGGGAAGGACCGGATGCTCACAGAGACGATGTGTACGTCAAGGTTGCGCTGTCGACACTGCTCTTTGCACCATTCTGTGAATTCGGGGTGTCCAGCTGGGATGAAACCGAAGCCAGTGGGGGCGTTCGACGCATATGTCAGCTATTCTACAGTCAGTGGTGTTATATGACGATGAAATCGCGTCGCCGACGGACAATGGAATGTAGCTTCTTCTTCTCTTGGGTTACCGCTTCTAGCACGATCTTGTACGGCTTCTTCTTCTTGACGGCGGCTCGCGACTGATCAAGCGTACTGCCGCGCTGGGGCGGCTGTTGCGCACGCGGATGATATACTCTGGTCATGGCTCTGGTATGCAGATGATGTTCATAGATCCCACAGCGGACCAGGGCAATATGAGTCGCTACTGGATGAGTGAGCACCCTATGTGGCCTGACACGGCGTGTTCAGCGATTAATACGGTAAGCGCAGCAGTCACGATGTCGTGCAATTGTCCAGAACGAATCCGGATTGCGTATCTACAAGCCCCGGTCGATGCAAAGGCACAGGCGGGGTGTTGGGTGGTACGTGTTGTGGTGTTGAGGAGTTGGCGAGGTTGGCACTGGGAGCGCAGGTGGCTGCTGCGCGCGTCGGCGTTACCTTCCGCCGACCCAGCATCCGAGGTCACAGCGTGAAGTGCTGTGCTTGGGCTCCAGAACATGTCACAGCAAGCAGTTCTTCACGCGTATAGGCACCTATATCGGCACAGTCTCAGAGCTATCCAGTTCTCGAAGCCGGCTCGATATACATTGCGCGACCGCATTCGCCTAGCCTTCCGTAAAGGCTCCGCGGCCGATTATGAACCACAGAGGATACAGAACACGCTCGAGTTCCTGCAGTATGCGACTAGACAGAACGGTCTCGAACACAAGATAGTGAAGAATCTGCTGTTCGTATGGTGGGTACAGAACCATGGAGGTCGCAATAAGCACAACCCGAAAAACGCCATGTATGTAACCAGTTCTCATCCGTCTTCAATGCCATGCAGCTGACTCTTTCAGGACGCGTGAGGACCTCGAGGTCAAGACCACCGCTTACGATACCTTCAACCATAATATCCGCATGTTGAACGAGAGCATGGGCCTATGCCTTCCAGCCATGACTGTTCGCGACCCCAGTTGAAGCGACCCCGCTATGTCGACACCATTGCTACTGTGGTGCCCACGTCATCTGCGGAATACACAAATACGAGTAGAGACCTCACATGAAGTCGTCGAGGAAGTTCTCATCGCGGTTCTCGTTGGAGTTTTGCTCCAGACTCTCCTCTGTCATGACATCGTCGTAGGCATGATCTCTCCGCCACGCAAGCTCCTTGCGCTCCTTGGCTATACGGGCCTCTTCTTTGCGCTATAAATCATCAGTCGCGAGTCGAAGTCGCGTGCGCGAACCGAAAGAGTGTGTCTGGATCAGAACACCCGTGGTAGGAGATACAGAGTGTCGGAGAGATTGCAAATGACAGGATAGATCATGAGAACGGACGTAGTTGGAAAAGGGGGTCATGCGAACATAGTACATGCAGAACAAAGCAGGATAACGAGCCTTGGGGAATGCACATACCTTGGCTTGCAGAGCACTCTGATTTCGCTTCCTTAACTCCGCCCGCCTTGCTTCTCGCTCCTCTCTTAGGTCGGGGTACTTCTCAACTTTTGTTTTGTTAAGACGGTTGACAATAGGGTTTTCTCGCTGCTCCACATGTATGCGCTTCACCTAGTATGCTATCAGTAAACCCAGCAATAAGTTGCGGTCGAGCCAAGGGACGTGACGCAAGCGTTTTGTGCCGCATGGCAATGCGCTTACCTTTCGCTGATCCTTGAACCCAACTTGACCTACAGCCATACTCCCATCTTTCTTCAGGTTGCTCCAAGGTGTATACACAATCGTAACGTTATCTTTCTTGTTGCCCTCAATACTGTTCGCCTTGGTTAGTTGCGCGCAGTCCACCAGCAACTCTTTGCTCATATTTTCCCAATCTTCGCCCTCGGGTAACCGGACGTAGATATGGGCCGAAGAGAGATTGTCGGCGTGAAACCAGACATCTTCGTCCCAGCCGTATTTGATAAGCTCTTCGTCTGTTGAGGCGATCAGTATGTGCGGTTGTAGTTGCGTGAACCACCAAGAGTACGCTGGTCGGTCAGAAATCACATACTCTCAACCTTGTCTTTGCCGACGTAGATGAAGGCCGACGGCGACACCGTGTTGGACGAGAAGTAGTACACCATCTTGCTGAGAAGAACGCTTGATCTCAAGTGTCTGGGTCAAGTAAGGTGAGAAGGTTGCCGGGATCGTGAAAATGGAAGGCACGTGTGGGGTCTAGCGGGGTATCCACAGCCCTAGGTACTTAAGGGTCCGTAGCAAAGCGTGCAACACATCACAGAAATCACAACTCGGACGTGAGCATGAGTTTCTCGAATGGTTTACTTCGCGCCTCTTGGCTATTTGTTCGGTCGTAAAGTCATACAGTATATACAGGAGATCCGGCGTCTTGCATCACCACCTACTTTGCACCTCTTTTGTTCAGAAGCGCCTCCTGACTCTCTTCCTCTTCACCAGGTGCAGCCTCCACGTCATGACTACCGGCTCCATGCTTCAAGCTGTCCATGGGATTATCCTGCCTAGCATGCTTCGCGTACTGGTCGTGGCCCTTTGCCCTTGGGTCGAAGCCCGCGTCATCCAGGTTCTTCTTCTCAATACTTGACGGTAGCTGGTCGCCAGTACCAGTTATGACTTCGCCTGTTTGTCCGCGGTCGTTCACACTGCGCGGTATATCGAAAGCGTTATCCGCTGCGTGTGCAAGGTTCGTGTGAGTCCGATCTGGGTGGTCAGAGGGTGAGACCTAAATCCTAGTTAGTCATACTGTACTTCACCGAAGCACATGATACCTGGATCCGATGTCGAAACTTACCACGTTCATCTTGCCAGCATCGCCAGGAATGGTCGTGCCCTCTGCAGCCATGTCTTCTAGACGGCCTCCTTGGTGCGGGTCTGGTGCCATGAAGTCTGATCTAATTACGATTGAGAGCACTAATTTGAAGTTTGTAGATGCTGATAAACTTGGAATTGTTCAGATGGTCGAATGAAGCCGTGTGTTAGCAACAGAGTGTTTCCAGCAAGCACGCGAGCTCTCATCATAAAGCCTTGACATTACGTGTCTGAGCACCAGTGGGCCATTTGTCGTCATAATGATGGTGATGTCAAAACACCATCTTGGTGTGAAGGAATTGTGCTGTGAGGACCGACTTTCCGATGGAGCACCTGGAGGGGCAAGATGCGCCAAGGAGCTCACGTGCGGAACGCGCCGCGTGTGGGGTCCTTCCCTACACGCGACTTGAACTGCGTAAATCCACAGACTGTAAACAAACAACGAACCCCGCAACTCCAGGCTCGTCTTATCTTAAAAGAATCCAGACCTACACATTACACCGACGATGCCAGCCGCCGAGCAAACCTCAGCCGACGCCCGCCGAAAGGCCGCTCGCGAAGTCATCGACATTCTTCATGAAATCGCAACATTGCTAGTACGAAACACCGCGCCTTACTGAAGCGCTCAACATCTGACATAAGCCCCAGAACACCCACCTGGATCGGCAGCAACTGTCCTACTGCGTGTCGCTCATCGAGAACGGCGCGAACCCGGAGGCATTAGCGGTACGTAGCTCTGCGGCACAGCAAGGTGTAACAGCAGATCGCCTCGCGCGCGGTTCGCACTGTCGCTTTGAAGTGGAGGCTTTTTTGGCCCGAGTACTAAACATACTGACTGTGCCACAGAAAGTCATATTGCAGCTACGCGAGGAATACCCAACGAGTTCAGTCGACGGTGACACAGAGGCCGGTGCAGCCGCGCGTTGAACCGATTAGACTCGGAGTCCGAAACTGCTCTTGTGCAGCCTTACACGGCGGTTCGGTGTGTCAGCTTGCAACTTCACATGCAAACCAACCAAAGAGCGAGAGAGGCAGGTTGACCAGTAGCGGCGGTTGTTCCTTCTTTGCCGTGAAGAGTCTGGAACGCTATCAGTACAGAATCCAACTTCCCTACAGATCGGCGTTGCTAAGCCATCGCCTACGGTTCCGCATGTACATACTTGGCATGCATCATGCAACATTGACGGAAAGCCTGGAAAGCCTAATCTCCCCTTGTACATGGAGGGGCAGTAGCGAGCAACGCGGGGCAAATCTACCAGCGAACCGGAATCTGACGCCAAGGTGTTGATATCGAAAGGTTAATGCATCGTTATCAGTACATGCCGCTTGTCTTCCCACACGTCTATGGATCAGGAAACATGTCGCGATAAGAGCTTCCCGGCTTACAACCACAGAGTTTGAGGATGGTGTGCGGAACAGCCGGGTATGCGGCCGTATCAGTGAATATTAATCTATGAGCTTCAAGCGGGATGCAAGCCATCATGTCACCGGAGTTGGCCGCTATGCAACTAGAACTGCTAGACACTGTCATTGTGATCTACCAATAAGACTACTCTGTAATCGTCTATTATGACTCTGATGATCTGTATGATGACGATAACGACAAGAGCTTGATACCGAAACGGTAACATGGGAAAGCAAGTACGGAAAGCTTGATGCTAGCAACGATAACGATCGTTTGGGGTATCATCAACGAGAGGAATGGGGTATCATCCAGTAGAAAACTCGTCGCCGCGCCAAAATGAAAGCAAAACACCACCCCATCTGCTGCCCTGAAATAGAAAAATTGTGGTATATGTCTACCTGCTGCCCCAAGTGGGCGAGCTCTGACGCTGGCGGAAGTTGCCCTTCGCGTCCGCAACCTTTTGTAGAGCCTTCTCGGCCTTGGCGTCTTGCTTATTGAGGTAACCATTGAAGATGGCAGGGAGGATACGCTTGGAGTCTGATGTTCTGTTAGTGATGACCTGAGGATATGAATAGACGTAAACTTACTGGCATGGTCGGCATCAAAGACAATGCCATCTGCGCCTCGCTCTCCTGCCACCTTGACAGCCTCCTCTAACAAGCCCCCACCAACACCCTTGCCGCGATACTTCAACTTTACAGTCCAAGCGCGTACAACGGCCTTGCCTCGCCTTCTCCTGCCACGCTTCTTCGCGGCATCATTATCGGCCCAACCCAATACCAAGGATCCGATGACGTCCTCACCCCACTTCACCACGATGAGCCTGTCATCGCCCAGCCAATCCATGTTGATATCCTCGGCCATGCCGATGTAGCCACCGGTCATCCATCGAATGAAGATGAGGAAAGTCATAGTGATGCCTCCAATGGTTGTAGCCAACATCGTTTTGTCCTCGTACCAGCGTAGCATGTACTGCGCAGC